CCAGGTGAGGCAACATGGGGGATACAGGAACCAGAGGAAACGTAGGATCACACAGAGAGGAAACTCGGAGCGAGCCAGTGTAAACAGCAGAGAAATCTGGTAGAAACAGCAGGAGCTGGGCGAAGATAAGGCTGTGCACATCAGGACCTGTAAGCGTCAATGAACCAGCAGCCACTGAGTGGAAAACAGGGTGTATATGTATAAGGCAGAACCGGGAGATAATGAGCACCAGGTGAAAGGCATGATGGCTGATTATGGTGGCAGAACAGCAGAGAGAGACGGGGTAAACGGAAACATAAACACAGGAAGTGAAGATAAAATGTGACATTCATACTCTGTCACACAGTCAATGGGTTGGCTTATTTAATATAGTTAGTTTTAGATCATTATTAGTTTTGATTGTGGGATATTGTACATTAATAATTATTATCATATCATAATTAAGGCTATCACATTCTTCAATATGACTTACATTGTGCTTTGGAGGAGGTGTGGAGTGTCTTTTATTTTATTTTTTATCGATAATTATCATTTATTCATTTTTAAATCAAAGTTTATCAAAGTCTTGTGTTAAAACCTTATAAAAAGACATTTCTGTATGTGCTGCTTTGACTTTGTGTACAATTCTAAGCAAAACCGGTTTCCTTTATGAATCACTCTGGAAAAATGAGAATCCTTGTTCACTATATCTGTGTTTATCTCTGTATGTTTATTTGTTGACAGTGTTTCCCTTCCATATGACCACACCTACCAGCACATTTTTCAGTATGGCATCTACACTAAACTGAGGAGCTCATTGCTTCCTCTGTCTGTCACCTGGCACAATGTTCCTGGAGGAATAGACAGTGTGCGGGTGAGAGGATACTATTGCTTGTATTTTTTTTTAATCTTATCTCTTATTTTATCTTATCATTACTTTATCTTACCTGCACAGAGGAGATTGTAAACACAGGCACACAAATGCATACACACAACACATGTGCATCATGAAAAGGTTAGTCAAGTCAAAGAAAATCTATTTGTATAGCACATTTCATATACAAAGACAGTTTACAGTGCTTTACATAGTGCATACATAAAAAATGCACTATTGTGTCCAGCACACCTGGTCAATAAGGTTGATTCAGATTCTGATATAATTGTAGGACGTTTTGTTGCATCCAGTTGTTTCTCAAGACATAGACACAACAAGTTTGTAGGACCAGATAGATCTGGATGTCATAGCATCGCTATGATAAGTAACCCTGTAGTGTTGTAGAATTCGAAAAAGAGGAAGCGTTTACAGTACAGGTTAAATAGGAGGGGCCAAAGAATTGATCCTTGCGGAACCTGATACCTCAGGTTTTTTCATATTCATAATTATCAATTCTGACTACATATCCCCTGGTTTCTAAATATGATATGAGCCACCTGAGTACAATTTTTGATAGTCTGTCTAGAGGTAATTCATGATCCACAGTATCAAATGCTGTTTACTGGAATATTTACAACTATTGTAGTACTGCAGAGCACTAACCTCACCAAATGAACCATTTTTGTAATGACATGTTTAAGGTGGAGCTGGAACAAGAGCATGAGCTGCGCACTGACATGACTGGATTGTGTGGAAAACACAATGTCCAAGGTATGATAGCTTTCCTACTAGTTGTATAATAGTAGTGACATTAGTAGCTGTAGTAGTAATTAATGTATGTTGGTGGAAGTAGTAAAAACTGTGGGTACTACACACACTAAGCAAGTATTAATTGTAAAGTTTTTATTGTGCCATATGATGTTTTTATTTATTTGCTAAGTAGGAATGTACAACTTTTAGTTGAATGTAAGAATGTACCTTTTTCTTAAAGTAGGCAATGAGCAGCAGTTGATTACAGAGAACGTGCTTACTGAGGACACATGTCAAACCCGAGATCCTGTCTTCACTGTGAATCAAGTAAGTTGACTGTTGACTGCTTCACACTATACAATTAGTCCTAGTTCCAGATGTTTAAATGATCTCTCTGATGATATCTGTAGATATGCAGAAACTTCTTTTCCACTGCCTTGGATTGTCGGCCAGCCAGTAGGCCTTATTATATCCAGCTCTGTGACAAGAACATTTACAGTTATGAAACAAACAAGTACATTGGCTGTGCTTTCTTCAAAGAAGTTGTCCAGCAGTGTGGAAATACTAGCTATGTCTGGAATACATGGAGAAGTGTAACCAAATGTGGTAGGTGATCTGTCAGCAACATATTCTCATTCTAAGTTTAAAAGCAGTAAGTTGTCTGACATGTTTTTCCCTTATATTTTTCAACAAAATTAGTTTCTAGTCTTGACTTGATCGACATTTCATTAGTTAACTAGAGTGATGTGATTCTCTGTTTCTGTCGGTGAATGCAGCTCCACCAAGTTGTCCAGGAGACCTGGTTTATGTAGAACAGGGCCCTGCCTTTATTCCCAGCTGCTCCAACCCCAACCCCAGATTCACTAACCAGGATCTCACCAGCTCCTGTGTCTGCCCAAAGGGTGAGCACTGATTATATAATATAGTTCTTTGCTGAGATACTGTGTTATTTAAATGCTTGTTAAGACTGAACTGAACTTTGTGTGCAGGCAAGGTGCTGAATGACTATGCTGATGTTGTCCACTGCGTGGATGTGTCCAACTGCCCCTGTGTGTTTGCTGGCAAGACCTACCTAACTGGAGACACACGCAGCACCAAGTGTCAGTCTTGGTATGTATAGTAGGCAGAAAAAAACTAATGGAATATCCATAAATCTGTCCATTTGGGACTGGTAAAATGAATATATATGGAGTTTGAAATTTTATTCTCATTTCACTTCCCAGTGTGTGTAATGGTGGAAAGTGGTTTTGTTCAGAAAACATCTGCCCATCCAGATGTATCATTGAAGGACAGTTTGTGACAACATTTGATGGAAAACGATATGTTGTCCCTGGTAAATGTACCTATGTGGCAGCACAGGTACAATTTCCCATTAACCTAACATTTAACTTGAACCAACTTGTGTAGCCTTTTTATGATGCAGACTGTTCTTTTAATATTCTTTAAGGGTCTCAGTTGGACAATAACTCTTCAGTATTCCAAGAAGGAAGCATCTCTGGAAATGGTGGTTCTCCAGCTCTTTCAGGTATAGACATCCTCCAAAAATGATCTATCAGACATGTAAAGCAAAAGGAGTATAACTGAATGTCCTTTGGTACTTGCAGGATACATATACATTCTCACACAAATGTGTTAAAGTAGGAGAGAAAGAGATCACTGAACTTCATCAGTCTGGTAAGAAGAACAAATTGGGCAATATACAACAGATTAACCTTTAGGTCAAATGTTTTCAATTAACTATACTTTAACATGTCCTTTCTGGTAGCCTTGTGATGCATCCATAATTTCTTAGTTACTAATCTCATCACTTACTAATCTCTGTGACCTTGCAGATCATGCCCTGGTTTTCTGGCAGTCCTCCATGTACGTCCAAGTGCATACATCCTTTGGTATGAAAATCCAAGTCCAGATGTCTCCTGAAATCCAGCTGTATATCACGCCACCCAGAAAATACACTGGCAGGATTTCAGGTTGGGAACTGAGTCTATATTGGCATGGGCATTAACCTGGGATTCACTTTTATTAAAAATTTTGTGCTCTCAAGAGAAAAATCTTTTTTGTGGCATGATCCAGGTTACTGCTTGTTAACATGGCCAGTTTGTCTTTCAGGTCTTTGTGGCAACAACAACAATGACACCACAGATGACTTCACCACCAGCAGCAGGATCATTGAGAACTCCCCTCAACCTTTTGCTTTATCCTGGAGTGTGGGCACTTGTAGAGTTAACATACCCTCCACCTGCAGCAACATAGACAATGGTACCAATGTACCTGTAGAATGTTTGGCTACCTACATTTTGTACTTCTGTGATAACTGACAAATATTTTAACTAGGAATATACTTTGCCTACAATTTTCTCAAATATATTTCATTATGTTAATATGTATTTTTGAAGAAATATTTGCTGATGAAAAGTGTTCTGTGATGAACAACCCAAATGGAATATTTGCCAAGTGCCATGGTCACATCCCAACTGATCAATACCATTTGGTAAGAAGACTTTAATGCTCTCACCAAATCTTTCCTTAATACTTTTTCAGCAGTTAACTGACATCAACATTTTGACATCAGCATTGTCCTATTAAAATAAAATTGATTACTTTCAGGCTTGCATCCAACGAACCTGTAACTGTGGCAGCAATTTGCAGCAATGCATGTGTGTTGCTCTGGCCAGTTATGCCAAAGCCTGTGCCAACCTGGGTGTTGCAGTTGGTGACTGGAGGAGTGTGACCAACTGCAGTAAGTTCAGCTTTAATAAATATGTAAAAATATAAACAAAACTGCAAAGCTTGAGACATTCAATATTTTTTGTTTGCATCCCACCACTGGACTAATGGTTAGACTGCCCAAAATAACTACTGGTACAAAAACCCTGAATTAGATGAGACTGATATGTCATTAATTTGTCATTGTTTTTGTTTTAGCTACAGTTACAGTATGTTTGTGTGGGACATGAGATACTGTACAGTATGTGCACTGTGTAAGCATCTTTCATAGACCATACAGTAAATGTCACAAATTATGACTTTAAGAAGTAAAAAATGCAGACTCACATTTAGTGTTAATCACAATGTTGATTTGCAGCTCTGAAATGTGAAAGGAACCAAGAATTCATCTACAACATTCGGGCCTGCAACCATACATGCCTTTCACTGTCTGGCCCTGACCCTCGCTGTGAGTTGGACAATTCTCCTGTGGAGGGCTGTGGTTGTCCAGAGGGAACCCACCTGAACCAAAGAAATATCTGCACCCCAAAGGCATCATGTGTATGTCACTACTATGGTGGTACAACACCACCAGGGCCTGTTGTCATTGATGGACGACAGTGGTGAGTTGGAACATGCAAGTGTTTGTAACAATTGTAAATGTTCACAGACCTTTTGTATTTCATAGCCTTTGTATTTTATTGGTTTTCTACTTGATTTCATCTAAGCAAAACCTTTTGTTTTATATTTCAAACCCAATATTGTCTTCTAAAGCCTTTGTGAGAATGGAAAACTGCGCTGTTCCAAGGACTGTGGTAAATTTGTATTCTTTAATCATATATTATTTGGTATGTATTTTCAAACATACATAACTTTTGTTATATTTGGGCCAAAAATTGACAGAAGCTCCACTGTTGTTTCAGCTACTTTAATTTAGTGGTGTCTTTTTGATACAGTCACATATTCTACATGCTGTGGAATTAACCATAATATAAGTTTGTTTCACATAAATGTGTCAAATGACAAACTTTCTGAAATATCATTGGGACACCAATATTTTATGTATTAAATTATTTTTGCCTCAGGCTGCAGAAATGGGAAGGTTTGTGTTCACTGCTCAGAATACCCAGTAAGCACAGCTCAGAAAACCTGTGACAGTCTCAGCAAACCACTGGTAGGTCAAAAGATTTTATGTTTATATACTTTATGTGTCTTGCCATTGTTTATGTATTATTATTTATTCTTCATTTAAAACCAAAACTAGTATTTTTTTATTTTATTTTATTAGAATTGAGAAAGATAATTGCTGTAGTGATTGGATGTTGGTTTCTCTTTGCTTTGTTTTGAGAACAGCTGCCACTCAAATCTTATTTCACATGCTGTAAACTTTGTCTTTTAATTGCAGCTACACTTATCCTTTGTCTGAGACAGTTTTCTTTATTTCTGATTTGTTAAACCTCGTGTAGAGCTAAAATATTTTCTTTTGGTGATTTTCCAGGGTGCCAGCATGACCTGTGAGAGTGGCTGTTACTGTCCACATGACCAGTATGAGGACCATCATGGAAACTGTGTTTCTCTGGACAACTGCACCTGTGTGTACAGTGGGAAAGTGTTCAGCACAGGACAACGTGTCAAAACCAACTGTAAAACATGGTAAAAAGTTTTGCTTTACTACTTCTTCTTTTAAAACTTCATCCAAACGCTACAAGAGTTAAATCACTTTACTTCACAGTATCTGTGGTCGGGGTCAGTGGCACTGTAAAGAGGAGCCGTGTCCTGGGAAGTGTCAAGTATATGGAAATGGACATTATCAGACCTTTGACTCTAAATGGTATCGCTTTGATGGACACTGCCAATACACACTTGTGGAGGTGAGATCAAACCTGAAAGTTGGTGTAATGATATCTCAAAATACAGAAAATGTTAACTTATTCACATTTAAATTTATGCGCATTGTCTAGTATAGTAACGAACAAAGGAAAGAAAAGGGTCCCATATATTTTAAGACTGAAATTGCTAGTCATCATCATCATTATTATTATTATTATTATCTGTCTTCAAGGTGGCCCCGCATATTTGCCTTTAAAGATAGTGGAAGACAACAAAATATTTATAAAAAATCTTAAATTATTTATGCAATCACTTGCTAATTTGCTTGCTCAGGCATCAGACCTCCATTATTTTGCCTTTTGCTTTGTATATATTAATGTCACTGCTTTTACATCAGGATTACTGTGGAAATAGAAATGGCTCCTTCTCTGTCAGAGTGGAGAGTGTACCATGCTGTGATGAGGCACTGACCTGCTCTCGCTCCATTATCCTGGACCTGCAGGTGGATGCCTACTTGTGTTTCTCACTTTTCTTGACAAAATAAAACGCAGCTGCTGACCATATTATACTATTAATTTCATTATGTGCTCATTTATTATATTCTTTCATGAATTTTACTAATTGCATTGTTCAGTCAATAAAGTATAACAGTTCACAATTACTGAATTTTATGATGCATAGATGGCCATGGACCAGTAAAGTCAGCAGTATGATAAACTGTTTATTAACATGTTTAAATTGTCTTAACCATGTTGTAATTGTATCTGTCATGTGTTGTCCCCATTCAGGGTAAAGTCACCCTGATATTGAGTGACATGAGAGTGTCCAGACACCTCCAAAAAGGCTGGACTCTGGAGGATGATTTACTTTACACTACACATACCGTGGGGCTGTACATTATAATCTCAGTGCCAAATAAAGGGATAACTCTCATCTGGGACAAACACACCCGGATCACCATAGAGCTGCAGCCAAAATGGAGGGTGAGTGACTGGGATATTTAGGTTTCTTAATAGAGTTTGGTCCTCATTATATTTTTACTGAAAGCTGCTTAACCCTCGTGTGTTGTTGGGGTCAGAGTTGACCCGCTTTTTTTTATCAATACGAGTAATTATTTTTTCAAGCTCAGACTCAGTACCCTTGGCTCATTTTGTGTGAACAACATATACATTTACAACACATTTTGAATTTTGTGTGAACAACATACTGTATATCAAAACACATTTTCATTGGCCACACACTGCACGCCTCCACATTTACACTACATATAGGATGTTCGTGGGTCAACTTGACCCAGGATAATAGAAGTGTGGTTTTTACATTTGTGTTACTCACACCTGTCTGCTAGCATATTCAACACCGTCCACTCCACACCTTACACATTCCACACCCTACACATTCCATACATTCTTGCCCATTGTACCCTCTGCCTTGTGGGTGCAATACCCACAGGACAGACACAATAAATATAGCATTGCCAGTGTGGTTCCTTAGCACAACTGATATCACAGCTGATCAAGATGGCCAAAGGAATCTCTGTTCAGAGAGCCTTGCATTCACATTTCTAAAAACTCTGAGTTTGATCATGACTTTGGAGAAGAAGATGAGATTGAGCATCAGCCATCTGCAGAGCACGAGGTAGGATTGTGATGTTGTTTATTTTTTATTGCATTTTATTAAAAAACTAAATAAGAGTAGCACTAACAAAGGTAAAGGGCAAATGTAAACATCCGTTCAGTATTTTAACATAAAATTGTTTGATTGTGGTGAATTACAAAGCCAAAAATTCTGTGGGTCAACACTGACCCACGAACACAGGCAGTGTAAACAACAAATGAACAACACAAGAGTAAGATTCAAGTTTTGAAATCATCATAACATTTCTTTTTAATCCTTTATGAAACAATGATTTAAATTCTCTCTCATATAGAGCCAAGTCTGTGGCCTTTGTGGGAATTTTGACTCCAGTGAGACGAATGACATCCAGATAAGTGGCTCAAAAGGTTAATATGTTCACTTATTGCTCTGTGATGCAGTACAACCTAAGTCATGGTGGTCAAAATAACACCAGACATTGGTTTTTAGTGGAATCCAGTCCCCTGGCCTTCGGCAACAGCTGGAAAGTCGCCGTGCCTCCTTGTTCTGATATAACCACTGAGATGTTTCCATGTGAACGCAACTCCTACTGCTCAGCCTGGGCCCAGCGGCGCTGTATGATCATTACAGGAGACACCTTCAAAGACTGCCACTTAAAAGTATGAATTTTCATATATTTAGCATGCTACTAACACCAAAGTCTAGTTTCTATCCAAAGCTACCTACAAATTTGGTAAGAAGGATATAACAGAAAGCACAGGTACTATGTACAATGAATTCAGATCACCAAACCAATCACTCATAAGCTTCAACAGTCAATACTGATTTTTTTTGGTCCAAATCTACTGCAACTTAATGCCATACAGTAACTAGTAATGGCAATGGACATTGATGTCAATGTAAGCCCTGTTCTGCTGGATGTTCTACAATCCTCAGGTTGACCCAGAGCCCTACTACCATGCCTGTGTCCAGGAGTCCTGTGCTTGTGAATTTGAAGGGAAGTTCTTGGGCTTCTGCACAGCTGTGGCAGCCTATGCAGAGGCCTGCAGTGATGAGGATGTGTGTGTCAACTGGAGAACACCTGATTTGTGTCGTATGTTAAGACAGCTTTTTCCTGATATAATGGTTTTACTTAACTCTTAAAGCCGCCTTTTTTTCAGATAGATATTAGGGAGATAACAGTAAAATAACAGACTGGACATGGCAGGAGGTATTTTTAAAAACTCACTTTTCTTCTATGTCAAAAATGCTAAAGATGCAGCATTGTTTAAGTTTACTTTCTCACTAAAGAGATAAATGACATGGCACATACAGGACATTAAAACCACTTTAAGAAAAAAAAATTGTTTCATTTCACTGTTTACATACTGCATACACTTTACACAATATTTTATTTTTATTTTATTTCATGTGATGAAAATTATGAACTATAAGTAAGTCAGTTTGTAATAATTTAATCTGTGGCATTTTCAACTTAGCGGTCTACTGTGACTACTACAATGAGCAGAGCCAGCATAGCTGGCACTATGAAGCCTGTGGTAAGATGCTAACCTGTGGCAAAGACAACCGCTTCGTTCACAAACTGGAAGGTAACCAGACTTTCTCAACTGTATTCAAATACAACAACTAAACTTAATTCCTAATCAAATGAATGTGAAAACTGAAACAATATTTTAATGTTAATTGAGGCATAGTTAACAATAACCATATACCACTGAAATAAACATTTGGTTCTTGCAACAGGCTGTTACCCCAGGTGTCCAAAGGATGCACCATACTATGATGAAAATACTGGTGAATGTGCCAAAATGGGGAACTGCACCTGTTATTTCAATGAGACAATTATTCAGCCAGGGACACTGGTGATGATACAGTCTGCGATGTGGTAAGCTAAGCAATTCATTGTGTACTGTATATCTACATAATCATAATGTAATACAGTGCAATATAATTATGACTTAAATTTAGTCATCACAGTTATAACTGTTTCTTTCTTCTTTCTTACTTGTCTCAGCCTTTGTGAAAATGGAATAATTAACTGCAGTACGTATGAATTATATTCACATACTACTACATTTACTATTTGATACAATACCAGTCAAATGTTTGGACACACTTTCCCATTGAATTGAATGGAAAAGTGCATGTAGCTTTTTCACTGGTAGTGAATGTTTGCTACCATGTATGAAAAAGGTCTGCCCGATGTATTCCACAGATAATGATTTCAAAATTCTATAATTTACAGCCACCTTAACTCCAGGAGCAAATTTTACTAATGGATCAGCTAGCACAAAAACACAGTCAAAAGTGCCTTCCACCACTTCTCTGCCAGTTACAGCCATTACCAAAGGATCAGCTAGCACAGAAACACAGTCAACAGTGCCTTCTGCCACTTCTCTGCCAGTTACAGCCATTACCAAAGGATCAGCTAGCACAGAAACACAGTCAACAGTGCCTTCTGCCACTTCTCTGCCAGTTACAGCCATTACCAAAGGATCAGCTAGCACAGAAACACAGTCAACAGTGCCTTCTGCCACTTCTCTGCCAGTTACAGCCATTACCAAAGGATCAGCTAGCACAGAAACACAGTCAACAGTGCCTTCTGCCACTTCTCTGCCAGTTACAGCCATTACCAAAGGATCAGCTAGCACAGAAACACAGTCAACAGTGCCTTCTGCCACTTCTCTGCCAGTTACAGCCATTACCAAAGGATCAGCTAGCACAGAAACACAGTCAACAGTGCCTTCTGCCACTTCTCTGCCAGTTACAGCCATTACCAATGGATCAGCTAGCACAGAAACACAGTCAACAGTGCCTTCCACCAACCTTCCGCCAGTAACGGCCTTTACCAATGGATCAGCTAGCACAGAAACACAGTCAACAGTGCCTTCTGCCACTTCTCTGCCAGTTACAGCCATTACCAATGGATCAGCTAGCACAGAAACACAGTCAACAGTGCCTTCCACCACCCTTCCGCCAGTAACGGCCTTTACCAATGGATCAGCTAGCACAGAAACACAGTCAATTACCAATGGATCAGCTAGTCCGCCAGTAACGGCCATTACCAATGGATCAGCTAGCACAGAAACACAGTCAACCGTGCCTTCCCCCTCCCTTCCGCCAGTAATGGCCATTACCAATGGATCAGCTAGCACAGAAACACAGTCAACAGTTCCTTCCACCACCCTTCCGCCAGTAACGGCCTTTACCAAAGGATCAGCTAGCACAGAAACACAGTCAACCGTGCCTTCCACCACTTCTCTGCCAGTTACAGCCATTACCAATGGATCAGCTAGCACTGAAACATGGTCAGCAATTCCTTCCACTATTTTCACTCCTATGACAGTTGTTACAGATGTCTCAGCTACCATTGAAAGCCAGTCAGCAAGCCTTTTGAACTCTATACCAACTACCTCAACTACCACTTCAACCTCAGTAACCGCTACAGAACCAGACAACACAACAGTAGTCACAACCAACTCACCCACCACATCATCTATGACTAGAATGAGTACCACACCTCCAATGCCAACTGCTGCCTCAACACAAGCTATCACGGTAACAAATACAACTGAATCCATCACAGAGCAGACAACTGTAACAGAAGCTTCTGACATTGTGTCTACAGATACAATTCTGAGCACTTTATTCACAAATACTTCAACAGCATTGGTCACAGAATCAGCACCTCCAGAGATGGTTACACTAACAAATACTTCCTCAACCCAACCAACAACCCAACATACAAAGTCAACATCAGCAACATTTAATTTAACAACCAGCTTTACAAGAACTGTTAAGCCTAATGAGACCTCACATCCAAATGAAGTCACCATCACAGAAGCTTCCACTGAAAAAATGACCTCTTCTACAATCACAGAACCTAATAACACCTTAATAATGATGCCACCAACACCATATACCACTGAGATGGCCACTAGTGAAGTATTTACCAACACAGAATCTACAACCATGCTGACATTCTCTGGTGGACCAAGCACAACCACGACTGCTTCGGTAACAGAGGAAACATATCACACTTCGGCGGTCACAGCTTCATTGCAGACTGCATTCACAAATGTCAGCGCTGAACTGATATCTGAAAGTGGTAAGCCAGGACCACCACCAAATACCACCACAAATCACCCCTCAACGGGTATGTAACATGTATTTATTCTATATATTGCTCTGTTTTTACACTTATTCTACAGTAGAAGTATTGTTTTAATTAGCCAGAACAATGTTTGTTTTTTCTATATTCAGTGATGCCAGTGTGCAATGAGTGTAAAGACTTGAAGATGAAAAAAAGCTGGAGCTGTGGTGAGACCTGGATAGAAGACTGCTATCATAAGACCTGTACAAATGGGACCATAGAGTTGACCCCAGTGATTTGTCCAGCGACAACTGTCCCCATCTGCCCCAGAGATCAAGTCACAAAAGTCTCAGATGGATGCTGTGAAACATGGAAGTGTGACTGTAAGTGTATCCTTGTCTGTTCCTGCCATAACTCTTGTCATCTTTTCCCTTCTTCTGTGTTTACAGTAACAGTTGCATCTGTATATATGTTTGATTATTTATGTAGACATTTTATTTTTATCCAAATACAAACTGATGTATCTGTCCTTATAACAAGGCTAATTCTATGCCATCTAGACAGCCCTGTGAGGCTATAGGAATATTGTTGCTTTGACCTAAATGATAACATATCTATGCAAACAAGCTCACATTCACAATGTTAACATGATGGAATTTATCAAGTAATGCTGAATATGCTCACCCTCTTTGAGATGTGTAAGCATGCACAGTCTTGTTAATTAGCACTAAACACAAAGGACGATTGATAGTTTTGCAGGTATATGGTCAAGATGTAAAGTATGGGACAACTACAAATTGTTGATCAGATGATCGTGAAAAATGACCAAAAGCATTATCTCCAGTGGCATGATTTGATTAAAAAAAAATGGATTTCTTGTTTTTTCTCCATATACTAACGTTACAACTTTTCCTTTCCCATACCGTCCTTAGGTCGCTGTGAGCTATATGGGGACCCCCACTACATCTCTTTCCAAGGTGTAACCTTTGATTTCCTGGATAATTGCACCTACATTCTGATGGAGGAGCAGTCACCACATCATCATCTGACCATTGCTGTGGATAACTTCTACTGTGTACCAGACCTCCAAGGTTCCTGTGCTAAAGGCATCATTCTAAACTATCAGAACTATACAGCTACACTCAGTATCATCCCAGAATTGTTTGTAGTTCAGGTAGGATACAATACTGCTTTATTTGCCACCATGCATTTATATTATGAATGCTGTTTTTTTGACACAGGATATATGTACCTCATGCCTTAATACTCTTTATACTGTCTTGACCATAACTAGTCCACATTCAAAATTAGACAGTTAGTCAACAGTATGTAATTCTCCAATAAAAGCAAGGTGTTGCATTTCTTAATGATGAATTACTTTTTTGTGTAAAACTGCAACAAAGCACAAATGACAAATAGAAATCAATACAATACATGATTTCACTGTTCAAGATGAAGTATAGACTATCAAGTCACTTAGCTAGCAATGCTAATGAACTCAAATTAGCTCTGACAAAATCACATTACCTCTAACAAAAAAAAGTACAACACTTCATAGCATTTAAAAAACAACAAAACAAATACTCACGGGCAAATAATGTCCAAGGCACAATGTTAAGAAGTAATACATTTTCACAGCAGGAAAAGTAATTATGCTGGCTATCATGCCTAATTTAACTCTGGACTTTTACTACCCTAAGATTAGTACTGCTGTATAACCTAAAGGGGGCACTACAGCACATAAAAACACAATAAACAGTCCCAATCGCAATCAAACAGCAGGCAGAACACCCTTAAAGTATTTCAGGCCACCATACTCAACTGATATGAAACCATTAATTGGTTTGACACTGCTCTAATCTGCCTTAGGCCACTCTGAATGACATGACCATACAACCACCGTATGAGGAACACGGGCTGAGATTTGAGACTACGGGGTATGTGGTGTCAATCTATCTCCCAGACATCCGCTCTTATGTCTCCCTCAGTCCATCTTACACCCTGGTGATCAATCTGGCCATGGAGCACTTCCTCAACAACACCCAGGGACAATGTGGTGAGTAATGGCTTGAAAGAGATGGTCTGAGTGTGGGCAAGTATATCGTATATTAGTGTTGTTAATACTTTATGGGGCCTGACTATCTTGTATAGATTCACATGTACAGGAGTGCGATACACTTGCCTGGATCTGAGGCTCTGAGTGGGAGGACTATCAATTAAAGGAACAGCTGTTTTGACCCTGATATAGCACAGGTGATGAGCTGCTCTGTCTCTCATTGTTCTTAGTTGGTCAAGACTATGTATTAAAAAAAAAAAAAAAAAAAAAGCCAGAGCAACAAAACTGAGTTGTGTTTTTGGCCAGTGAATAAATTGAATTGCAATTATCCCAGCCTTTTTCATTCACCAGTTCCTGAACAACATAGCAGAAATTATGCTTCTTTGAAGTTATTTTCTAGAGGTGTCTGTTTACCATGACTAATGAATGTGTGCATATTAAATACCAGATCACATATGTTCTTCTGAGCTCACCTCTCCATCTTATCTTCAGGTGTTTGTGGTGGTGGATCATGCATCCGTAGAGATGGGCTGATAGAGGAAGACAGCTGCTGTGACAAGACATCCTATGACTGGGTGTACACAGACCCTCTGAAGCCAGCCTGTGTTTCTGCACCGAGAAACATACCCTGTCACCCTGGGCCAGTTTCAGTACCTACTAACACTCCCACTTCCCCTGCCCTTACTGCCACCTGCCCCACAAGTGCGCTGTGTGGGCTGCTAGACCACCAGTAAGCTCCACACCCTATTACACACGCTCATGCACACACTCCACCATAACTTTTTATCTCATACACAATAGATAATAACCTCCAATTGGCCACCTATTAATGTCTTGGCAAATATGTGGAACACTGTTTTTCTCTGTATCTAGTTTTGTGTTTTTTCTTTTCATTTCAATGTTGTTGTTTTCAACTATGCAAGATCTGCTTATCTTTAAAGAGCCCGTGACATGATTTTCCTTGATTTTTTACTTATCTACAATGTTATAACGGTGAATTATCATCTTAGATGTGACTTAAAACTCAAAAAATTAGGTGTACGTATGTTCTAGTACTTCTATGCAGAAGCAACTCGGTTTATATAAGTCTCGCAAACTGTAGCGCATGAGAATTTTGTTAGAAAAAAGTAAGTATTAAGTGATAGTTTAAGGATTTCCTTTGAATGGCCATAATCTCCAGGCAGTTGCACATTCATGTGAGCTTGCCTGACATCCACTGTAAAGGTGGAATTTTTTGACCACACACAGTTTTGTGGATATATTTTACCTCCTGCTGCCTGCATTGTGACCAGAGGATGTGGAGAAAAACACAAGGCCTGAGGTTACTGTATGTCCGGGAATGTTCTTGTACAGGGATTCACTGTTTTATCTGACGAGGTCTAACATTGCGTGAATGGAGCAGCTGGAAACTTACAGGCAGCCGGCCAGTTTAGCACCCTGGGGCAGTGAATGACCAGCTCATCAACACTGGATTCCCCTGGAACACAGTACCCATTTGTTTTGACTGCTTGAGGCCAGTGTGTCTGTGCATATGATGTAATGCAGGTTAATGATCTATGAGGTTATTGTCTGTGCTACGCTACCTGTTGGAATTATTGTTACTACTTTGGTACTATATGTGGTGAAGATGCAGTGACCACCAGTTTGATTTACTGACCTTGGAGCTACTTGCCCCCCAACTGGTTGAGGCAGAAGGCCGCCCACCAAGAGCCGGGGTCTGTCGGAGGTTTCTTCCGTTAAAGGGAGTTTTTCCTCCCCACTGTCGCCAAGTGCTTGCTCAAGGGGGATTTGTTGGGTTTTTCCTCTGTAATAATAGTGATAATAGTAAGGTCTAGACCTTACTTTGTAAAGTGTCCTGAGGTGACTTTTGTTGTGATTTGGTGCTATACAAATAAAATTTGATTTGATTTGATTTTGATTTGACTTGAAAGGGAGTGATGTTTCCACTACTTGGTGGGACTTAACAGTAAATATAAAAAACAATTGTTGCATGTCTGTAAATATGGGGTCTCTCAGTTACACGCTTTGTAACAAATGTTACAAATCTCTTTTTATTGGTACATATACATACAGTAACATTGTTTACCTGCAGTATCTGTGGAGGAGAATTCCAAATTCACTAATGCCATTGAGGTTCGTTGTGCTGTTCACTTTCTACACAATACCGGGATTAGGAGGTGTGCGCATTCATGAACTATCTTCTTGTTTTTAGGAAGAGGCTCTCTCGTTTTATCATTCTGATACAATTACAGACTATTTGGATTTATGATGGTGCAAAGCTAATCTAGAGGCATCCAAAATTAAACATTAAATAGCTGGAAATGAGCATGCCATGGGTTCTTTAGGTATGTTTGGACTTGTATGTTATTTAACTACTGACTAAAAATGTAATGTTTTCCCTTTTTTCAGAGTCTTCTCAACTTGCAGTCCATATGTGAATCTGAACCTTAAAAAGCAGAACTGTGAGTTTGATTCATGCAGGAACCCAGACAGTGCTTGCCCTACTCTAGAGCAAGCTGCTCAGGAATGCAAGCACGCTGGCTTCTGCATTGACTGGAGAGGACTAACTAATGGAAGCTGTGGTAAGTTCCTTTCAAAATCTGTTCTTTATGTTTCTGTTTTATGGCACTGGTTGTAATGAATGTTTGGTAACAAATGTTCATAAATTTATAAACTAATCAAATAGTTTTGTGTCCTGGTTGGTGTTTCAGATGTGCCATGCCCAGAAGGGTTGCTTTATAAAGAATGCCATGACAAGCTGGATGACGTCTGTTATGGAGGGTTTGGAAACTTTATGTTTACAAATAATGTCCTACCACATTTAATTCACATCATACTAGATCAGAACAGTCATCTCTGTCAAGCTGTTCACCCCTGCTATCCTCACCTGTCTTCTGTTTTGGTTGTACAGCGTGCGTTACCCAGGCCCCCCCCTCAAAGACAACAGTACAGGTTGTTTTTGTCCCAGTGGCCAGTTCAGAGCAGGAAATCACTCAAACATCTGTGTGTCTGACTGTTTCTGTGAGTAACATGCCCTAAAAGGGTCACAGTAAATCCTAGAAGATTTTTGTTTAAAGTCTTACAAAAGGAATTTTCTACTTTCATCATTTTCCTACAGATTGTAAGGGACCTCTTGGAGAGCCCAAACTGGTATGAACAGTTCTCAGTGTAAATAATACTAGTATTTTTTTTATCCAATTTAGCTCTAGAATAAAAAATTTTCTAAACCTGTCTTCCAGCCTGGTGAGGTGTGGCAGTCCAATTGTCACGTGTGTACATGTAACAACCAGACTCGGTCAGAGGAGTGTTCCCCAAAATTGGAGGCTACCCCAGTCTGTAGCCCCAGTGCTGTTTTGGTAAGCACTTCTTGCTGTGGTGGTCAGACGTGTGGTAAGTACTGGCATGTCATATTTTGAAAATGATTTAAGTGCTACCTCAGACTTTCCTTTCCTCATATGAATACTAATACATATTTGGCTTCTGACACTATATACGCATTATATGTTTGGGGTTTTTTTTCAGTTGAGAAAACCTGCAATTATAATGAAAAGACATACCAGGTTTGTCTGATTTCATATTAAAACCTGTTTATGGCACTTTGTCGACTCAAACACAATTTGATTCTGTATAGAAATGAATCAATTTTAGAGCGTATGTTCTGGTCGACTCAAACACAATTTGATTCTGTACAGAAATGAATCAATTCTATAGCGTATGTTCTTTGTGTATAGTTGGGAGACAGATGGAAAGATGCTGCACATCCCTGCATGTCATTCAGCTGCAGTAAGGATGGTATTCAGACTGAGACTAAAGTCTGTCCCAGAGAAAACTGTCCTGAGGTACTACACACCCCTGCTCTGTTCTTTAAACTAAAACTGTCATCTTATAGCCTATAGGAGCAACATGTATTACTGCATTTCTCTCCAGCTTAAGAGTTGTTTGAAATGTATTTTCAGTACTACTGTAATATGTAATAATACACAATTAAATGTGCCAAAGAATGGGAGAGCATTCATATGGAAGCTCAATATATAAGTTAAATGATGTTTACCCATTATTTGGCCCAAATTTTTTTCATTTCAGTGTTATTTTGAAATTTCAGAAAATACACTAAAAATGCTGATGTGCTTGAACTTAAATAAATCTTTAAGGAACAAGTATAACAACAAAAAATAAAGACCATTAACTCTTGTGAATTGTTCTCCAGGAGGACAAGATTTGGGACAGCCAGCACTGCTGTTTTACATGTAAGTTGAGATGTTAAAATGTTGAAGTTAATTACAACTGCCAGACTGCTTTTTAAGCTCAAATAACCTTTTCCTTTTTGAATTTTGACTCATATCTTCTTCAACTTCAGGTAACCAGAGCTGTGCATTCAAGGTGTCCAACTTCAGCATCACCATAGACAACTGTAAGGCTGTCATACAGATGCCTGTGTGTCGAGGCCAGTGTGAGTCTCAGCCCAGGTAAGAAGAATCTAGCTATCACTGGTCAATAGCAGTAGCTATGATACAGTCACATTCTGATGTTTGTAGTGTTCATACTGAGAACTCACCAAGAGCGGTCATTGTTTATTTCATTCTGAGTGAATGACAGACTTTTCTGAAATTTGGAATCTGCATAAACCTGTTTCTCTCCCCCATGCCCGGGTCCATGGCAGTGTGGTGTTAAACAATGACTTGCTGGTGGAGGAGAAGAGCAGTGTCTGTCAAGAGCAGAGCTCAGAGAGGAGATCAGTGACCCTGCAGTGCTCAGACCTCACTACCAGACACTACACCTACAAGCATATCACCAGCTGTGAATGTAGAGTCTGAAGTATACTACTCTAAAAAGTAGAGGCCAGACCAAACAAGAATTAATCTTAATCTGTAACTTATCCATGGATTCGGAATCAAATGGTCATAGTTTTTAAGTTACTGGGTCTGTTATCAAATAAAGTGAATTACTTACTAATCACCAGTTCAAGCGATGTATAAAGCACGGCTTATGTTTTGCTAATGTATTCAAATTTAATTGATTAATAAATGGAAATAAACATTTTTGTTCCTTATTTAAATCAATTTCTGGATGTTTTTAATCAAATAAAAGGAGTTATATATTAATTACCATAGTTTTCAGTATGTATCTTCTTTTAGATCAGCAAATTTAACTTTAAATTACATATCATGCCTCCCTAAATCTGTACCTTTCACCCCAAGTGCCTACTGGCACCCACACTGCTCTGGCTTTAGTCATATCCATTTTGATGCCAGTGGCCTGTCAACTAGAGGTTTGATGTTCATTTTACCCAAATGACAAAACACATACTGTAGCTAGCAAGTAGTTTTGTTTGTTTGTTTGGTGTTGTCGTTGTTGTTTTGCCCAGGTTGTCTGCCCTGTCTCAGATTTCTGCTGCCACAGTGAAAGGGAAGAAAATGTATTTATGCTGAAAATGTCAAGCTTGTGATGTTTCAGTTAGTTTGCTATTTAAAAATAAATAAATGCTTTCATCTACTAGAGAAGTTCAGCTACTGTGAGACTGAATGTTTTGGGTGTATTGATAGGCCCTAGTAGTGGCTCTCTGTCTGTGCCCTAATGACTGAGTATCACCAGCCATTTTAATAGGTACATCTATACAATGGTATGCAACACTTCCACCTTAACATCGGTGTTTATGAAGCTCAAAATGTTTCAGTTTTGGTGAAATTGTCATAAATGTATAAATTCAATTATATTGTGGTGATGGGGGATGGAGAGACAGTTGGTGGTGTCCCCCAGCATGCCTGAGGGGAAGCAACTGGTAGGATCCCCCATAATGCCCCACTGGATGGGATGTATATAATTCAGGTTTTGGTAGGGAGTGTGTGTTACTGTGTTCAGAATGTTGCTGTGCGGTTGCTGGTGTGTGTGGAAAAATGAAGAAAAAAAGACAATCTTCAGTTTCCAACATTTCTTCCAGAAAAATGTTACAATATGATTATTATTAAGTTCATATTTAAAGGTGTTGTTGTCCTGGACTACATTATATTCAGAGGTGTTCCTAATATTATGACCCTCTTATGTATGTAGCTGGGAAGGACAAAAATATAGACACCTCAAAATATATTGTAGTCCAGTACAACAGCAACAACCAACAACACCTCAATAATGAATATATAATTGAATTTATACATTCATGGCAATTTCACCAAAATATGAAACATTTTGAGCTTCATAAACACCAATGTTAAGGCAGAAATGAATTGAATTGCATACAGTTGTACAGGTGTGCCTAATAAAGTGGCCAGTGAGGATAATCAGACACCTAATCAGACTTGTCAGACAGTGTATGTAAGATTATATAAGATTCTTTACAAATTTTCATGATTTACAAACAAAATCAATTTGCTAACTTAGTTAAAGTGAAAGTAATTTACCCAAAACTCTATCTTCACAATTGTGGTGTTTTTCTGCAGATCATTTGGTGGTGTGTTTTTTGCTTCTTGCCATCTGTTGAGTACACTGCACAATGATGAGTGTAGTGGCTTGTTGCGCCTAGCTCAACGCTACTGAAATTTTACCCTTTTCTTATTGCAATGTATTTGTCTTGATATGGAATTTTTATAGCACTATTTTATGTCAAATAATGAAATATCAGGCCTGAGGCAGAGAGAGAAAAGACAGCAACAAGCCAAACCTCTATGAAAAAAGTAGACTTAACATTAAACCTGCATTAACTAACTTATCACTCTAATTTTCAGTTGTTAAGGGCAAAGTAAGAGTCAAAACAAACTCAAGCAGTATCCCTACTTCTTCTCCCACAGCTCTTCTTTGCCTCTCCTGCCCTGTCTATGAAATTAAGTCATATGTGGTCTCGACAGCCGGAAACAGTTGTGGCAGTAAGGTAGTGGAGCAGTAATAACCAGCTACAGAAGTAATGTGTACAGAATATACAGTAGAGACTATAGACCCCATGGTCTTCATTGGCACTGCAGCAACACAATGTCAAATAAAGAGATTTACATTTTCAATCATCAATCAATCATAAACTTTATTGCTAAGTATGTTAAAATGAAAGGAAAGCTCAATGGCCCCCGATACACCAAATAAAACTGACAAAGAAAAAACAAGAGTAATAAACATGGATTCATGAGAATGATGGCCCAGGGGAAGAAACTATCCTTGTGTCTGATTGTTTTAGCATAAATTAACCTGTAATGTCCAGAATGTGATGGGTCTGCAGAAATCTTTTTGCCCTTCTTTTGACCCGTGAGGTGCACAGGTCCTTCATGGAGGGCAGGCTGACACAGATGAATCTTTTTGCAGTCATGATTGTCTGCTGGAGTCTGTTCCTGTCCTGTTTGGTTGCCGGGCCAAACCAGACAGTGATGGAGGTGCAGAGAACAGACTCAATGATTCCTCTATAGTGCTGTATCAGCAGCTCCTGGGGCAGGTTGAACTTCCTGAGCTGACACAGGAAGTATATCTTCTGCTGTGCCTTTTTGACGATGGGGCTGATGTTGGTTGAGGTCCTGGGAGATTGTGGAGCCCAGGAACTTGAAGGAGTCTACTGCTGATACAGTGCTGCTGTATTTTGAATTTGGTTTTACTCCGGTACACATGCCTTAACCAGACCAAGATCCCAAGACCTTGCAGTGCAGATCCCTGCAGCTGGAATGCCAAAGATGAAATGTATCAGACAGCCCTGATCCTAAGAGCCACTGCATCAGCTTCAGTAAGAATATCTTAGGTTATTCATACTCTGTACTCTGTTCTTTGGATTCCTGATGTCATTGCCTCAGTCACTGCAGTGCAGTGACCATCAAACCATCCAGTGGCCATCATTCAGCTGTGGCATTGTAAAATCAATCATGTCTGTCACAAGGGGCCTGTTTCAACTAGCACTTATGCATGTACTGAGATAGTACAGTATATGATAAGTGGTCACACAGGTGGCACTTTCAACTCAATTCTCCCATGCAGGGCAGTGAGTAAAAAGGGCGTCTCCTGTTTAGAGGTACTGTATGTGAGACCCAGAGATGGCTGCAGAGCAGAGGGACAGGCTGTTTGTCACCATCTGCCAATCTCTTAAAGTCTATGTATATTCTCTCCTTTAATTTTGTTTTCAAATTAATATTTGTTTTCCTGGCATGGCCAAAAGTGCAATACTGACTTAGTAGTTTACAGGCCTAAACATTTTTATAGTGAAAATGTTTACATTTACATTGACCACCTACAATATGTAGCTTAATTTAACATTTACACATGCAATGATGCTCCTGTAATAATTTTAGCATTATGAGTATGTTTCCATTTGATATTTTATGTATATGTTGCAAATAGTACTACACTTTCACTTGTAATGGAGTAATGGATGTGTCTTCCACCTCTGTCCCATCTCTGTCCTCTAGTGGTTGAACAATCAATGGTAACCTAAAAATTACAGCTTTGTTATTATAGGAAGGAAGTTTTATGATGACCTCTAAATAAAACCTAGGCCCTAGAACACAATAAGCAAGAAACTGTTTTCAGTGCGAGTTGCCTGAGTAAAAGTAACACTTTAGTTTATTTATTCATTTATTATTTGTATGTAAATATTACAGCTGGAATACCAAACTTGAATATTTATACCACTGCTGCTATTGGCTTGCTTTTATTATTAAAAGGGTTATAGATGCAAGATTGCTAAGATACAGGTAGAGTCACAGAGGCTGCTGTACACATTTTCTTCCTTGGGGTGTTTGTAACACTAGAAAGGAATAATATCCTCATTCCTTCCTCCAAATTAGGCTCAAAGACTAACACCTGTAAACACCGGGTAGGTTTTCTGCAATAATCCGCCAGGTGAGGCAAAATGATGCGTTTTGCGTCACCCTGCAAACAAATAAATCCCGCTGGCGTGATACAGCGGATACCTGCTGGTGTTTCAGTGTACTGGAAACGTGGAAGGCGGTAAGATAACAGTGACTTGTAAAATAACAGTGACTTGTAAAATAATCCAGACTTGGATATTCTGCCAGTGTTATAATTAGTGAGCTCGCCGTTGTTTGTAAACTATGTACAAGGCCACTAACAAATACTACAACAACTGAGTAAAGTAGCCGAACAAAGTATAGCACTAAGGGAGCACTGGTCTACACCTTTTGCAGGAGACTGATAAGCACATTGTTCTAGTTATTGTTTAATAAGAGCTGGTTTTCAGCCTACTATGAGGTGTTACTGATGACTTAGACCTTGGATGTTTTTTCATATCAAGTATGAGCAGCACCAGGTGTCATTAATCACTAGTTTGTCACCTGTTCAGCCTGGAGCGACAGACATACGACGTTAATAGCTGTTTGATGCGACTAAGAATTAAACCGGAACATTCAGCAGCTTAAAAACCCTGGTATTCTTCAGGGCGTTGTGAAGGCCAAAATCAGTGCATTGCTTACTGAGAATTAAGCAAATTGACCAGCTCTGTTATTTTATAGGGCTTTTTTTTTGAGGCATCGGTTAGTGTCTGTCAGCTTCTTAATGCTAGACTCCTTGTCTGAATTTTATGACCAAAAGATAAAGTAGGCTTGTGAACAAAGACATGGCAGTAATCTGCGGAGATTTAACCAGAGCGAAAAGGGGAGTTATAAGACGAATTTGCAACTTTTTAGATAAAAATATTATCTCAAAAAGCTCCATGTCTAAAACTGTTTGCGGACATTTTTAGCCACGATAACATGCTGTCCGTTACTGCGATGTGTCAGCGTGGCCAACATGTTTGGTTATGTATTTGATTTGGGTTTGGTACTTGGCATTTACTGTCAGGTTGGTCATGTTGCACTTCTGCTTTGTAATAGACAAAAATAAAACTCTGCCTTTTTCTTTAGTTGGAGTAGACACTATGATATGTATCAAAGTTGGCTAGCTGTAGCTTGAACAGGCACCGGGTTGGTGATGCCCAAAAGAAATCGTGTTACAAGCATCCTCAGTCTCCGCCGGTTCACCTACTGAGCCAATGGATCTACTGAGG